TTTAAAACATCGTTTGGATTTTAACGTATGTATTCAAAACGTCACGAACATCGTGAACAAACGTATTTAAGATGTCTTTAAAATATGTCTGTGCTATCTGGGTAGTGTCATTCTTTATTAAGTAAAAATAAATCTTTTTGTAATACATGTAGATCATTATGTTTTGTCTTGCGGAATTTAAAAAAAAAAACACTCATTTTATTATGTAAACGATTTCATTCAATTTATTTCTATATATTTTTTTCTTGTGTCTTATTTATCGTTACTTATTTATTTTAAATTTTACGCTTTGAACTTGCTTTATACCAAAAAGAATGAAGTACTAATAACATAAATACAAGTTCGTTGGTGTCAGAAGATGTTCAGTGACGTTATGAGTCCTCTCTTTATTACCTAGTCTAAGAGTTACGTCTGCCACTCTTCTTTATATTTCCTTCTTTTATGCTGCCTCTAACTGTCAAGTCAATCAGCCAATTATGTAGTTTGCAATGGTGGCTCCAAATAGTATGCTTAGCAACTAACAACTTGTTATCAATGCAGTGCATTTAAACGTATTATTTTATCTATGGGTCCATCTAAGTTTGGGTTGCACGATCATGGAAGAATTATTAGATTTAAGGTCGATATCATCACCTCTGAGTAACGTTTCATGTAGGTTTTACTTGACAGATTAATAAAAAATAGCCCTATAGTTTAATCAGCAAGTAGTTACTTTCAACTTTACTTAGAGGTGAAAAGACTGGCCCTAAATCACAATACACAAATACCGGTATGTTCTTGCGCATATTAGCTCTATCCTTATGACATGAGATGACGTCACGTGGCATAAAAATCCGACGCATCTACATAGATAAACAGAAGTAACGAGATGTTATCAATAATAAAAAACTGAAACATTACTTCATTGTTAAAGGTTGTGGTTTTTATGAAGTGAAAGCAGAAAAGTTATTGTATAAGTACAAATATTGCACAAATATTATGAACATTTAGTTCATTTAAAATATATAATATACTTTTTACAAGTAGTCACAGCACAATTAGATCTTTCATATTTTTTTATTGACACAATAAAATTGCTGAAGTTACCATATTTTAATTTAAACTCTTTAAAAACATCTAAAAATGGAAACGATAAAATCAAAATAATTTACACTCTTCAAATAGATACAAAAAAACAAACAAACAAACAAACGAACGAACGAACGAACGAACGAACGAGCGAGCGAACGAACGAACGAACGAACGAACGATCGAACGAACGAACGAACGACCGAACGAACGAACGAACGAACGAACGAACGAACGAACGAACGAACGAACGAACGAACGAACGAACGAACGAACGAACGAACGAACGAACGAACGAACGAACGAACGAACGAACGAACGAACGAACGAACGAACGAACGAACGAACCAACGAACGAACAAACCAACAAACGAACAAACAAACAAACAAACAAACCAACAAACGAACAAACAAACAAACAAACAAACAAACAAACAAACAAACAAACAAATAAAACAAACAAACAAACAAACAAACAAACAAACAAACAAACAAACAAACAAACAAACAAACAAACAAACAAACAAACAAACAAACAAACAAACAAACAAACAAACAAACAAACAAACAAACAAACAAACAAACAAACAAACAAACAAACAAACAAACAAACAAACAAACAAACAAACAAACAAACAAACAAACAAACAAACAAACAAACAAACAAACAAACAAACAAACAAACAAACAAACAAACAAACAAACAAACAAACAAACAAACAAACAAACAAACAAACAAACAAACAAACAAACAAACAAACAAACAAACAAACAAACAAACAAACAAACAAACAAACAAACAAACAAACAAACAAACAAACAAACAAACAAACAAACAAACAAACAAACAAACAAACAAACAAACAAACAAACAAACAAACAAACAAACAAACAAACAAACAAACAAACAAACAAACAAACAAACAAACAAACAAACAAACAAACAAACAAACAAACAAACAAACAAACAAACAAACAAACAAACAAACAAACAAACAAACAAACAAACAAACAAACAAACAAACAAACAAACAAACAAACAAACAAACAAACAAACAAACAAACAAACAAACAAACAAACAAACAAACAAACAAACAAACAAACAAACAAACAAACAAACAAACAAACAAACAAACAAACAAACAAACAAACAAACAAACAAACAAACAAACAAACAAACAAACAAACAAACAAACAAACAAACAAACAAACAAACAAACAAACAAACAAACAAACAAACAAACAAACAAACAAACAAACAAACAAACAAACAAACAAACAAACAAACAAACAAACAAACAAACAAACAAACAAACAAACAAACAAACAAACAAACAAACAAACAAACAAACAAACAAACAAACAAACAAACAAACAAACAAACAAACAAACAAACAAACAAACAAACAAACAAACAAACAAACAAACAAACAAACAAACAAACAAACAAACAAACAAACAAACAAACAAACAAACAAACAAACAAACAAACAAACAAACAAACAAACAAACAAACAAACAAACAAACAAACAAACAAACAAACAAACAAACAAACAAACAAACAAACAAACAAACAAACAAACAAACAAACAAACAAACAAACAAACAAACAAACAAACAAACAAACAAACAAACAAACAAACAAACAAACAAACAAACAAACAAACAAACAAACAAACAAACAAACAAACAAACAAACAAACAAACAAACAAACAAACAAACAAACAAACAAACAAACAAACAAACAAACAAACAAACAAACAAACAAACAAACAAACAAACAAACAAACAAACAAACAAACAAACAAACAAACAAACAAACAAACAAACAAACAAACAAACAAACAAACAAACAAACAAACAAACAAACAAACAAACAAACAAACAAACAAACAAACAAACAAACAAACAAACAAACAAACAAACAAACAAACAAACAAACAAACAAACAAACAAACAAACAAACAAACAAACAAACAAACAAACAAACAAACAAACAAACAAACAAACAAACAAACAAACAAACAAACAAACAAACAAACAAACAAACAAACAAACAAACAAACAAACAAACAAACAAACAAACAAACAAACAAACAAACAAACAAACAAACAAACAAACAAACAAACAAACAAACAAACAAACAAACAAACAAACAAACAAACAAACAAACAAACAAACAAACAAACAAACAAACAAACAAACAAACAAACAAACAAACAAACAAACAAACAAACAAACAAACAAACAAACAAACAAACAAACAAACAAACAAACAAACAAACAAACAAACAAACAAACAAACAAACAAACAAACAAACAAACAAACAAACAAACAAACAAACAAACAAACAAACAAACAAACAAACAAACAAACAAACAAACAAACAAACAAACAAACAAACAAACAAACAAACAAACAAACAAACAAACAAACAAACAAACAAACAAACAAACAAACAAACAAACAAACAAACAAACAAACAAACAAACAAACAAACAAACAAACAAACAAACAAACAAACAAACAAACAAACAAACAAACAAACAAACAAACAAACAAACAAACAAACAAACAAACAAACAAACAAACAAACAAACAAACAAACAAACAAACAAACAAACAAACAAACAAACAAACAAACAAACAAACAAACAAACAAACAAACAAACAAACAAACAAACAAACAAACAAACAAACAAACAAACAAACAAACAAACAAACAAACAAACAAACAAACAAACAAACAAACAAACAAACAAACAAACAAACAAACAAACAAACAAACAAACAAACAAACAAACAAACAAACAAACAAACAAACAAACAAACAAACAAACAAACAAACAAACAAACAAACAAACAAACAAACAAACAAACAAACAAACAAACAAACAAACAAACAAACAAACAAACAAACAAACAAACAAACAAACAAACAAACAAACAAACAAACAAACAAACAAACAAACAAACAAACAAACAAACAAACAAACAAACAAACAAACAAACAAACAAACAAACAAACAAACAAACAAACAAACAAACAAACAAACAAACAAACAAACAAACAAACAAACAAACAAACAAACAAACAAACAAACAAACAAACAAACAAACAAACAAACAAACAAACAAACAAACAAACAAACAAACAAACAAACAAACAAACAAACAAACAAACAAACAAACAAACAAACAAACAAACAAACAAACAAACAAACAAACAAAACAAACAAACAAACAAACAAACAAACAAACAAACAAACAAACAAACAAACAAACAAACAAACAAACAAACAAACAAACAAACAAACAAACAAACAAACAAACAAACAAACAAACAAACAAACAAACAAACAAACAAACAAACAAACAAACAAACAAACAAACAAACAAACAAACAAACAAACAAACAAACAAACAAACAAACAAACAAACAAACAAACAAAATACTTATAATTCTTATTTAAAATTCCAAATATGAACGTGTATCACTCTTTCGTATCAATACATCTTTTTAATTAGAAATAAAACTGTATTAAAAAATAATTCTTATTCAAACATCAATTAAATACTGTTTGCTTTATGCCACGTTACGTCATGGGAGAAATAGAGAAAGAAAAATGGAATTTAGTGATAGTTACCAACATTAACTTTTATTGATCCAGATAAGTTTGAAGATGAAGATGAAGTTAAAATTAGAACGAATGGCAGTTTATCAAGATTACAATAATAAACGGTTTATGAAATATATTAGAAGTTCATTATAATGACAATTTTATATTTAAAGTTTTACATATGTGTAAATTTAAAGATAATTTGTGAATTAGAATATTAAAAAAATTGGTAGAAAGGATAATTAATTTTATTTTAGACATTAATTAATTATTATTTGTAACCATTTATAATAAATTATTTTCTTACCATTATATACATCACAGCTGGTTTAACATATTCTTTTGAGTTGATTTTCACATCGAAATATTTCTTAGCGGCATAATTAACGAAAGCACTTATCGTTTCCACAGGTCTTGATGGATCAAACATAGCAGCTTTTGGAAATCCTTGGCCCTTGAAGTATGTATTGAAGAAAAGTTGTCCGCCAGCAATATAGCTGAAATAACATTTTTTAGATTGATTATAGCAATAAATCAAGTATCAATAATAATTCATTTGTAATTTATCTAACGCCATCCCTTCAAGAGATTAGAAAATTACCCAAGAAACAATGAATTATCGGGATATTGCTAGGCCTTTTGGTGTAATTGAAGTGAAATTTAATGCGATGATTACAAAAAAAAGCCTACTTTTTGCCTATCGATGTTGGTTGATGTGGCCTTATGAAAGGTATTGAGTAAAAGCATAGCATGGTAAAAATCAAAAAGCTTTTAACTATTATTGCCATATCGCCATCACTATCTAACAAGTTAGCATTTCGTTGATAGATAATCGGTGAAATAGTTTTATTAGTTTAAAAAAAAGAAGAAGAATTAAGGTAGGGAATACATAACTTGTGTATTTGAAAGTTTTTAGTGTCTGAAACTTGGAACTTATGTCTCCTATTCAAATATGGATATTCTGGAGGAATACAGTCTTTCAATCGAAAATTGGGAGATGACAACTCCATAGGAGTTGAAGCTTCTTGACTATTAAGTTGTGTTAAACAATTTAAGTTCTTAGGTTCTATGCTAGAGGGGATAAAAAGAAGAACGACAAGTGAGAGAACTACACAAAAGCAGCATAGGAATGGGAGTTAGTGGACAAAAGACTTATACCCACTCTATATCTATGGCTCAAAAGAAAGCATGAAGAAATGACATATCACTTTACCCAATTATTCTTTGGAAATGGATGCTTTTAGTTATATAGATGTAGATTGAAGGTAACACATAGTGAAGAATGCATATATTGCGGAATCATATTTACGCCCAAGCATACCTTTTTCGAGTGTGATAGATGTATAACTGGTAGAACTGAAGTAGAAAACAAGATTGGACAGGTAATATCAGAAAATATACTGAAGAAAATGTTAGAAAAGAAAGAAACTTGGAATACCATAAGTAAGTTCGCAAAACGTATTACAGAAACGAAAGAGAAGGACGTAAGAGCACTAGATGAAAAAGTAAGGGTCACGTAAGAGCACTAGATGAAAAAGTAAGGGTCCAAAATAACTAAATCTTCGCTCTCCTGAAGCAATGCCTACTGCAGTTCATGAGCAGCCACTCAAGTGGGTATATTAAGAGACCTTTTTATATTAAAAAAATGCAATCCTCAATTTAGTGAAATATATAAAGAATGTAAGAAAAATAATTCCTTTTTATTACAAACAAAGAAAAAAGAACACTATCAAAAACGTATTCTAAGATCAGACAATACTAATAAGGCTTGTTGAAATGTATCAGAAATTCTTTCCAAACTACTCTCATAGAATAGGACGAGATGTTATTGGATGATCCACGGGAGGTAGCTGCAGAGTTTATTAGTTTTTTTAAATATGTTTCTAGTAATTTGGTTGACAAAATAATAAGACAGTCTACGAGTAACATCAAATAAAGATTCTTTTTTCCTCACTCCATTTGGAAAATTAAAACCAAAAGATCTTCTGGATATGATGACGTACCATCTTATGTACTAAAACAAGTATTAGATGTTTTCTCTGAACCATTAACATATTTGGTAAACTTATCATTTGAGAGAGAGGCAGTTTTCCTTAAGTTTTAAAACTGTGGAAAGTTTTACAATTGCACAAGAAAAATGATCGAAGACAAATATAAAACTATAGACCTGTTGCTATTCCCTGTGGTCTGTCTAAAATCTTTGAATAGGCTATTCTTAATCGTCTTCTATCTTTCCTGAAAAGGTACAGCATTATAACAGGAAATCAATAACTGCTATGCTTTCATTCTACATTAAAATTATTCACCATTTGAAGAAATCTGAATGCCCAGCTGCTATCTTTTGTGATCTCAGTAAAGCTCAATATTTTAGTACCAAAAAAAAATGGTAAAATTCATTTAAAGGAAAACCACAATTACTATTATCAGGTGAGATTTCTGACTAAATTTTAGAGTAATTTAATGAAAGTTATATTTTCTAACAAATTAAAAATTATTATGTTTTTAGATTCAAGGACAACTCGGTATCTCACGAAGAAGAATGTGCCATTTTATAGTTTATGTAGGAGACGAGAATCCTCTTTTTATATATATATTTTGATGATTTTTTTTTTAAAAATCTAATAGAGAAACTGAGAGTTTTTTTATGAGCATTGTGTGGGCCCGGAAATAATTTTGAATGGAAGAGGTAGAAAATTAAAGTGCAGAGATTCGCCGAAGAGTAAATAAATTATGTAATATCTTTTTAAAATTAATAATGTTTTTGTTTTAAGTTTTTTGATTTTATTTAATTTACCTATTTATACAAAATTTCGTGAAATACAGGCACCTAGCTAATCTGCTAATATTGTATATCTAATTTATTTTGAAATTTTATATATTTAACTCATTAAAACTAAAAAGTGGTACTTTTATTAAAGGTGTATTTATAAAGCTTTTATTTACTTTCAACCCTTTCCAACTAAGTCAACACTTTAATTGAAAAGACTTGTAGAGAACTGGTCAAAAAACTTAACTCTGTTTATACTTGAAGTCAATTAGTTATGGTGTATTTTGAACAAGTAGTCTCACGTCTAAGATACGGTGTATGCTTATAAGGAAATTGAATCTACTCTAAAAATGTTTTCCATGCTCAAAAAAAGTTCCTGAGAAGCATTGCTAAAATCTCACAAAGATTCTCTTGTCGACCATACTTCAAGGAATATGGCATATTACACATGGATTCTCCACACTATCCTATTAAGATTGACCCAAGCAAAAGGATGTTTTTAAGGGATTTCACCTCAAAGAAAACTACCTTTTTAATATATGCATTTTATAATCATATTGCATTTTTTTCGTACAACCTCGATTTTAATTTAGTGCTAAAATTATAAATCAAGAAATTTGTATTTTTGCAAATCAAAACTTCAACATTTTAATACCAATTTTTTTGCTATTAAGCGTGCGAAGATTTTAGGTTATCTCTTTTAATATTATATAGGGGCGGTATTTTACCTGTTTGCCCCATGGCGGCGACACTGAACGGTGCTACTGGTCAAGGAGGCACTACCGAACAGTCAGTATTAACATTGTAAAAGGCCTGTAGTTTCCAGTTAACTTTACTTCAATGGGCCATTAATTGTCAATATATTTATTTCTACAGAACTATAAATGCCAGTCTTCTCTTTCACAATAGAAGGGCAACAGTTGTGCATTTTATTCCTCTACACAAAATATTTGGTAATGTTTTACAAACGGGTTTATATTTTTTTCAATTCTTTAATTTTTAAAAAGATTAACTTACGCAATTTAAGAAGTACCTACCTACCAAGTTTTACTTACTGATAAAAATAATGATAATAGTAAATTAATCACCTTCTAATTATTGTGCTTACTAGTATTTAAAATACGTGTAGTAAAAGCCTTTATCAATAAATACAGTGTGCTTCATAATAGGTATGAATTATTTTTTAATTTGGTGTCATCGGCAGTCAAGGTCATTAGCCTCTAGCCTCGTGTTCTGTGTAGGATTTGTTACTGTTTCCCAGGACCAATTTAGGAACAGCACTATTAATTATTGTTTCTTTTATCTAAGGTTAATTAGAACCCAACAGTGAATGGTCGAGTGGGGAATCCTACCAAGGTATCAGAATTAATTTTAAATAATTAAATTAAATTAAAAAAATCCCGGCCAACGGTGGTATGAAAAATTGTGCAGTTTTCTAGTATATTTGTAGAAGAAAGTCAGTATCTTGAAATGAGTGGATTTTGATATTTAATTGCGTGTTTGGTAAGATATTTTTTACATCTCTCTGTGTAAACGTAATGTTATCTTTAATCAGGGCTCCCGCAACCGCGCGTGCAACGCGTGCACCGCACGCGGGCGCACCTCTAAAGGGGCGCCGAGCCGGAGGTCTATATACAATTCGAATTTTTAATTTTTCTAAAGATTCCAATGAACAAGGCACTAAGACACTAAAGAAATCAAAAATGTTTTTATCTCAATTCATGATAATATAATCAATATTATTATCGAAGTTTATGTTCGTTGATATAATGACCTATTCGTATTGTGACAGAAAACATATTTTTTAAATCAAATAGCTATTCAATTAGCATTAATTATTAAATATAATCAAATCAATAGGTTAGTTAATTCTGTGTGTAACATGCAATACCATGAATACCCGTATAAAGTATAAACTTGTCGATTTTTCCTTCAGACTCGAATACTCTACAAACTACGTTTTTCCTGTCAAGACTCGAATATTGTACGACGAGTAAGTTTCATATTCGATTTTTCCTGTCCAGACTTGAAGACTCATCTACGAACCACGAGACCACGAGAATTAAATATAACTGCAGGAGGCGTCGTAATCCAAATAGTTAATATTTTCCTCGGCTACGTGAAGGTCAAAAACCAAGACGTAAAGTTATAGTTATAAATATTCGACGGAATGCTTTATATTTTGTGTTAATTGCGTTGTAATTAAAATTTATGAAATGGTAAGTACCTACCCACATAATACCTATGTATTTGACTTGATTTAAGCCCGATTCACCTGTTCCCATTTCACCTGACCAATTAAAATTTCCCAATTCGCCTGACAAGCTCAAATTGTGGTATTGTTTCGCCTGACGTGGATTTTGATATGGTGCCTGCTTTTTTTTTATCATAAGAGCCATTTTCAAAATTCATGCAAAATTTGATTTATAAGGATAATTTGATTTGAAACAAAATAAACTGCATTTATTGACATTATTAAGCATTTTGTACCAGTGTTTTTAAATCAATTATTTTTAAATTTTCTAAACCATCTTAATAATATTTCCTTTAAATCTTTTTTCATAGATATACTAAGTTCTTTTCTAAAATAATGTATAGTTGAAATTATTACTGGAGAAATTTTAGTTTTTAAATATATTTTTTTTGTCCTGGCCGGTCATTGGGACACATAAAAAATTTCTAAACTCAAATAGTTTAATCACTTCGAAACTTCTCTATGCTAAAACTTTTCCTCTGTTTATATTTCATTTTATTTTTTATCAACTTAACTTTCCTCTCTCATCTTGTGTCGAATTTCTCTTGCAGAATGAAAGAACCTGTTGTCGGGCCCCCCTAACAGCGGTGCCGGGCCACCATTTCAGCCCGGGCCCCGGGAATTAGTCCCGGCTACCCCCCCCCCCCCTCTAGTCGGCCCTGTCCACAATGCATGTCGATCTTTACAGAAACAAAGAATAGACTATTCACAATACACAACAAAGTAAAATGGGTTGCATATCGACCAGACCAATCAAATTCAAATAAAAGTCAGTTAGTAAATGGAGAGGGAAACATGTAACAGTTATTTTTAGCGGTAAAACAGACTTCAGATAGCCATTAGCACTCAAGCTGGTAACATCTCAAATTTGAAATCATTCTTTAACTTTTAACAAATATGTACATTCACATTTATATATCTTAACAAGTTCTTATTGTTGAAATAAACAAGTTGTGCTTATGTTTGAAAATGTTTTACTACAGTCAAGCTGCAACACCAGGTAACCTATCCATTCTACGTAGAAGCAGTATTCATAAGGTTAGCTCAAAATTTCAATAGCTAGGCCGCCAAACTAAAGAGGCGATAAGGTAAAATAAAATACCCCCTCATCGCCCCGACACTTATTATTACTTATTTTTTAGTAATAAATTTCTTTACAGCAAATACATATTTATTACCTGAGCAGGTTATGAGAATCGCAACTATTTTTTTCCGTTTAACATGTAGTCAGGCAAAACCCCAGCGTACCAAATTTTTATGTCACGCGAAACGGGAATATACCTTTGACTTTGACTTACTTCGGCTATTAATAAGATATTGTGGAAAATACTACAAAAGTAATTCAATACTTTTCACATCTGAAAATCGGAAAATGTGATTTTTTTCCTGTGTGGTAAATTAGGTCTAAAAAATATGTTTATTATTTTTTCTGTTAAAGTTTGTGCACTAAAACCTGAATTATTCTCAATATTAATTTTCCAATTTTTGATCTAGTATTCCTTAATTTCTAGGAGCTACAGAAGAGAAAACGACCTTCTGGTGCAAAATTTCGAGAACAAAAAAAAGTTAGAGTCCAAGAGAGGGAGAAGATGGCTGGCAGTATGAAACATTTCTTGCGAAAAAGTCAAGTTTCCAAAACTGAAACGATAGAGGAAGGTGAAAATACAGTTTTTGAAGCAGCTGCACCACCAGCTTCTGCAACATGTGAACCATCAACATCATCATCACTTTCCGAAAATATATTCTCTATAGAGTCGACCATCTCAACAAAGACGGCTACAAGTAACACTTCTGACGATGAAGTTTCTACTGAAGCGGTAACTGAGAATACTAGTATTCTTATATCAGAGGACCCTGGTTTATGGCCCAGAAGCATTACCAACGAAGAAGTTAGAATATTGGTTGACCGTGGTTCTTCTTTGATAGGAAAAAATTATCAATTTCCAGCTAATAAAGACAAAAGAAAATTTTCAAGTAAGTACTTTGTCAGAAAACTAGGAAATGGAGAAGAAGCAAATAGAATTTGGCTCATAAAAATCGATATTTTGTTTTCATTGTAAAATTTTCAGTAGTTTTTCTGTTACTCATGGTTTTTCTGATTGGCAACATGTGTCTTTAGCCATAAAAAGACATGAAACATCAATTGTACATAATGTTCATATGAATACATGGATGAATTTAAAAAAAAAATTAAAATTATCCACAACTTGCAGTTGTCAAGTTTTTATTCAGACAATGTCTATAGCGTTCCAAGGTTCTTCTAAAATACTTTTTGAATTTGATAATAGAAACTTCCTTAAAGCTATCGAGATGATTTCCTCTTTTGATCCTGTAATGAGAGAGCACATTAGTCGAGTGCAAAGCTGACAAACAAATTCTTTTAGATACAAAACGAAATTATTGAATTAATGTGTTTAAAGTAAAAAATAATATTTTGAATATGGTTCGCAGTTCCAAATATTATTCAATAATTTTAGACTGTACGCCGGATACAAGTTATGCCAAAGAATGCGTTATTGCGTTATGTCGTTCTAAATGACATTTCTAAAAAGGCTCAAATACAGAAAGTTTCATAGCATTCGACCCAATATCCGACTCGACAAGGGAAGGGCTATTTGATTTTGTCATTGGACTTTTGAAAATGAAAAATTTGAATCTGGATATTAAGACATGAGAGGTCAAGGGTATGATAATGGTGCAAATATGCGCGGAAAACATACTGGTTTACAAAAACGCATACTCGATGCTAATCCCAGGGCATTTTTTGTGCCATGTACTGCACACAGCTTAAATTTAGCTGGAAATTATGCTGCTAAAGTTTTAAATGAAACAATTAACTTTTTCAATATTGTACAAGAACTTTATGTATTTTTCTCTTCATCCACAAAAAAGGTGGGATATTATAAAAAAGCATGTCCCGAAGTTAAATCTAAAACCCCATAAAATGATACTTTTAACATAGAAGCTAGGCATAAAGCAAGTTCTATGCTATTAAGTATCCAATCTTTTAAATTTATTTGCAGTGTAATAATTTGGTATGATGTTTTATTCCAGATTGGCATTGTAAGCAAAATAATGCAAAGTGTAACGACTGATATTAAAGTGTGCCAAAACTATTTAAAGAATCTAGTTGATAATTTTAAAAATTATAGAGATGATAATGTTTTCGAGGAAAAACTTGCTCAAGCTGGAGAACTATCAGCCTCCATTAAATACTGTTAGACGAAAGTATAAACCAAAACTGTTCGATTATGAACAGTGAGATGAGACACCTCAAGATCCAAAAACAGCGTTTAAAATAAATTTCTTTATAAAAATAATTAATCAAACACTAAGTTCTTTAAATAATAGATTTGAAATGTTATCTGATTACGACAAAGTTTTTGGTGTTTTTAATAATATTTTTAAATTAAATGACGAGGATCTTTTAAAATGCTGTCGTGCTCTACAGCAAAAGCTAACTGATTAGAAAAAGGAGGAGGCTGACGTAGAAGAAAATGATTTATTTAATGAGATAAAAGCCCTAAGATTGTTTTCATTACCTGAAGCGTCAAATCCCCTCGACATTTTAAATATATATTTGAAAACAATCTAACTTCATCTCTACCAAATATTACCATTTCGTTAAGAATCCTGCTTACTTTACCTGTATCTGTAGCTTCTGGTGAGAGATCCTTCTCAAAATTAAAAACAATTAAAAATTATTTGAGGTCTACTATGTCACAAGAAAGATTATCGGGTTTGGCAATCTTAGCTATGGAGCAAGAGATCCTCGATAAAATTGATTTTGACAATATTATAAAAGAATTTGCAGCAGCCAAATCCAGAAAAAACCTATTTAATTTTTAGATAATTAAATGTTTTATTTGTTTACTGTTTGGTTTGTTTTTTCGTTTGTAAGAATAAAATATTGGTTTTTAAAATATCTGTTGTTTCATTACAAAATTAAAATAAAATGTGTTTTCGCAATTCGTTTAAAAGTTAAACGACTACAAGAATATTACAGCAAACCAGGAAATTTAAAAAAACATATGTAACAGCTTAAAGTTATTACTCTTCAAAATATTATTTATATAAGTACGACATATATTTAAAGGGCGCCAAAATATTTCCGGCACGCGGGCGTCGATAACCCTGTGTCACAGTTTAGTTTTGTTTTCTATTTTATTTCTCTCTGTAAAAGTATATTTTTTTAATATAGTTAAAACAATTAGCACCTTGTTCAAATTCAGACCCATCATAAAAGTTTTCAAATAAGCAACTGAGAATTCACCCCCTATTTTCTTTAATTGTACTTACGTTTTGTAAACTTTTGGTTCAGAAGCATATTGCAAGAAACTCGCAATCCTATCAGTCACCAGGCTAATCCATTGTCTCCTATAAGAATGATTTTCCATCATCTCACCAAATTTCTTATAACTAAACCTTCCTTTTTCATCGAAAAATATTTTAAAGGACTTTTCAGCTCCTAGAGCACTTATCGTTTGTTTTCCAATATCAGAATGAATAAAATGATCGAAAAGAATATGAAATTTTTCCAGTAATGGCGGCATTAGCCATGAATGTCCTTCGTGGCTTTTTTCTCTTTTATCAGCTTCTGGTCCTATGAAAGCATTTATACTTTGTAGAATGGTTGGTAACAGTGATAAAAAGTTTATATCTTTAGTTTTCTTTTCTTTTTTGTCTCCGGAATTCAAGAAGTTTCCAGCTAATGACAATATATCGTCCATATTCAAATCTGAATTAGTTTGCGCTTTGGTGTCAATCTTTTTAGATTCAGAACTACGCTTAACTTCTGGAGTTTCCTCTTGAGCTAGGTTTGAAAATAAATTTAACATTGTTCCGATCATCGCAGGGTTCATTCCTCCCTGACCACCTTGACCCATCAAGGACCCAAGTCCTTGCAACAAATTTGCAACGCCTTCTCCTTGGTTTTGATTATCTCCAGACTTTTCGTCAGATTGACTTAAAAGTGATCCAATATTTTGCAATAAATCTGCAGCGCCACCTGCTTGTTCTTTATTTTTTCCATCATATTGACTCAAGAGCGATCCGAGACCTTGCAATACATTTGCAGCGCCACCTCCTTGTTCGCCTTGGTTCATAAGACTACTTAATCCTTGCAGCAAAATTGCAGCGCCACCTCCTTGTTCCTGATTTCCTTGTTCTCCTTGGTTTAGAAGACTACTTAGTCCTTGTAACAAATTTACAGCTTGATTTCCTTGAGCGCCTTGTCCTAAGAGACTTCCAAGTCCCTGTAGTAAATTTGCAGGGCCTTCACCTTGTTTTTCGTTATTAGTTTTGGTCTGCATAGTTGACATAATAGTGCCAAGGCTTTCAAGTATATTTGGTGTGTCCGAATCTGTAAATAACAAAATTAATATTGTTATTGGTTTTTAAAGCAAATGAATTTACATTTGTGGGTGAAAGAAATAATGGTTTAATTCCTGAAGATTTAACAAATTGTAGAAAAGGAAAAAAGTATAACTCGATTTTTGAAATATATATGAGGAGCTATACAAATAATTCATTCTGATCTAACTAAAAGGAAATGAAGGTGAAAATTGGTTTATTTCATCAATTTAGATGTCATAGATATTATTTTTAACAACCAATGAAATCATTTTATTGTATTTTTTGTTTAATTTTTTATTTTGGACAAGTTCGCGTTTGACTAAACAATTTGGACACGTTCGCGTATTCAGTCATGGAATTGTATGTTTTATGAAGTTTCTTGCTATTGAGATCAAATCTAAGGTACACTCCCTTAGATTTGCTTCTAGAATAGTGACTCTCATAAGCAGACAGGGAACCAATGTATTGTCTAACAAAATTTAAGTGGCTTTTTCTATCACCACTCCTGTTTTCTGTGATGTCTATAACCAAATTTTTTTGCAAAGGCTGTTTAAGCCTGTAGATTTCATCTAAACTATATGAAGAAAAAATTCTTGCAGACAGAGATCTGAGAATGCCTACAATCGAAAATGAGAGGAAAACCATCGCAAAAAATTGAAAAGATTCCTATACTCAAACAAATAATGATTGAGAGTGAAAGCAGGTAGAAATACGACCAAATCGGAGGCGTGCTTATTATTTTTGAGAGGGTACAATTATTTAAAATATTCATACAATTTCTTTTATTTATTTCATGAAAACTTTGCAATATCGTAATTTACCTAATCGTTGTAGTCATTAGTGGGGCTTTATGAAAACGGAGTAATAATTGTGGTAATTATAATAGGAACCAAATAAATTAAGAATATTAATAAAAATCACAAAATATATTTCAAATTAAAAATAAGAAAGATTAATCAGGGGTTGGTTTGGTGACAGAAACAATATAATCAATTTTACTATTTTAATAATGAATTTAACTTTATTTCACAAATTAACGTATATTTATATATTATGTCGCGGCCGAAGTCAGTAAGGCTGTCTCTTAAGTTTCTTCTTGGGTTACACATACAGAAGTATTACTTAAATTTTAAATTAAAATCATAATGACGGATATTGCATATCCAATGCAATTGATATTTTTATTTTGTTTTGTTTAGTTATTTTTAAATTTTTATATTTTTTAATCTTTTTTATATTATATTTAGTTTTTAATTTACTTCGCTTTGTCTATAAAATTTTTGTAATTTTTCAATGACAATAAAGCATATCTCTATATATATATATATATATATATATATATATATATATATATATATATATATATCTCTCCCGGTTTACCTGCAGTTCCTCGAAACTAGCCAGCCTTACCCAAGAAACCCTAATTGGGTTCGGCCAACATTAAAAGACATTATAAAGCTTAAATTACTATTTGATTGGTACTTAAATCATAAAAGTTTACACGCACCTATCATTTCGGAAATCCCTAAGTAAGATAATTAGTTTGGATATAACCTACAGGATTATGTTTTCTTGACCGCCAAACATAATAATAATAATAATGTTTATTTCAAATTTATGTAACAATGTACAAATTGATACAATAATAATAATTAAATAAATAAACATTTGTATCCTGCTGAGACATTGTTCATGTCTGTGTACAAGAATTAAAAATACAAATTTATATAATAATTTCTAAATGGTAATAGTGAATGGTAAAAATAAAAATTATACCTAAATATATAGACTTCTTTTTGTGTACAAATTTTCTTCTAATCTTCAACCTCAAATTCGTCACTGCTGCTACCGCTATCATCAAAGTTAATTATGATTGGTTCAATATTGTGTTCAATACGGTTGTCTACGTCCCACATTTTTTGCTCTTCTTTTAAAACATGCTGAATGCATTTCTACCAGTCTTCTGCAGAAGCATTTTGAATGGCTTCTTGTAGGTAACGTTGCACGTCCACTAATTTAAATGTTCTGTTTTCTCGTGCCACATATCCTTTTACTTGCGCCCAGATTAATTCTATTGGGTTTAATTCGCAGTGGTACGGTGGTAACCTTAATACTGTAATTCCACGACTTAACGCCATTTCATCCACTGCGAATTTTTTATATTTGTCTCTGTGTAATTTTGTTAACTGAAGTAGTTCTGCCTTTAAACTATCTTTTTTATATTGGATGTTTTTATTAATTAACCATTCTTGAATTGCTCGTTTTTTCCATGATTGTTTCGGTAATGATTCTAAATACCGACTATGATATGGGGCATTGTCCATGACGACGACAGACCCAGGTTCCACAAGTTGAATGATGCCTTTAAACCATTTTTCAAACACCTCCGCATTCATCTCTTCATGATAGTCGCCTGTTTTCTTGGATTTAAATATTAATTCACCATTTGGTAAAAATCCACTGTCGCTTCCTATATGCGTAACTATCAGACGACTACCTTTTCCAGACGGCTGTTTTAACCCAGTTGACAAGCCTTCAATAAAGGCTTGTCGTGCACTTGTTATATGACCATCCTGCCATACTTTTTTGACCGTATGTCCTTGGTTAACCCACGTCTCATCCATGTAGTAAATTTTTTTTTTTTATATTCCGAAATTCCTCAATTTTTCGGAGATAATTTCTTCTCCATACTATTATTTCCTGACGTTCAATGAGAATGCTTTTCCTGTCGACTTTTCCGTACGTAAATTTCATTTCGTGTAAAATTTTCCTCAAAGTTTCTTTACTCATTTGTGGGACCAATTCATGATCGCTAACTGCCTCCAGAACTTTTTGCAAAGTGAGCTCATTTCTGAAAAAGAAACTGTGAATAGTTGTGCGTATACTGTTTTTGGCTTCTTCATCAACTGTGATTTTTTTTCTTCCGCTACTAGTTTTTGGCGTTTGTACTTCCCCATGAATTTTGTTTTCTCTTAGTATTTTGTAAACTGATGATTTTGGTACACCCGTATAATCAGAGCACATATCAACTAATTTATCTTTTGTAATTGTGCAAGTTAATGATGTTGGAACGCCCGGTTGGTTATTCGGAGGTACATCCATAGAATTACAGCACATATGCACTAAGTTATCTTTTGGTCGCTGATGATCTCTTTCAAGACAGTGAAATACTCGAAGTACAATTTGTTTTTCACTTAGCGACCGAGACTTCGACCGTTTTACCTTTTTCGACGTTGAAGGCCCTTCAATGTCTTCCATTTTTTGCATAGTTTTAGAACGGTGTAGAAATATTATTATTTAATGTTTAAACACTTATTAGCACTAATATTTTCACCAATTGTTCTTACAACACGTCGATTACTTACTAACTTAACTGTAAAACTTACAATTCACACCGTATAATTCAAAACCCGATGTTACGCTCGTGGTTAGAAATACACTACTGAGAACGTCATCGACGAGATGGATTTTACGCGTAACAGACAAAGACACAAATATCGCTCCGTACACCGATGCCATTAGTTGTAACAAATACTGAACAATCCATAAAATAATTAATTTTAAATGATCAAGAAATGTATAAGTATTACTCATTACTGATTTTTGTTATAATTAATATCTTTTATTAGTACTATGATTGTATATTATCTATAATTTGCCACAACTTACAACTCTACTACTTACTCTATTTTGATTCTGCTAAAAACTAGTAAGGTAAAATTGAGATATGACAACACGGTTCACTCTCAATCATTATTTGATTGAGTTTAGACAACCGATACCAAATGAGAAGGACCAAAGCAGAGCATAGTGCGCATGTGTAGTGTATAGTTATCAGAACAGAAAGAAGAAGATACCATTGGGTGAACTCTTAGTTTTAAGCCTCTTAAGTTTACTTAAATTTACAACAAAGATAAATTGCTGGTTGGCTGAAACATAACTAGATGCAATGCAAACTAAGAAAAAAAATTCTACCCATACATTCCACCGAAGCTCTACGAGTTAGTTACTCATCCAAACCTCATTGTTGACCTATGAACTGTAGTTATTACTTCTTTAAAACAACGTTCATATTTTCATAATAAAACTCATAATATAATTAGAAATCATTTAATCGCCATGCACCTGACTCTAGCACATAAAACACCAAAGTGACCATCTTTCATCTTCATGACAATTGACAAGTAAAGTATATCTGTCAAAACTAGGAAATTACCAAAGATCAGACTGGACGTTGCCAACTTAAATGTGGCGGCAAATTTGAATATTAAAGTGACATCTACAGAACGGTGTTTTGAATACCTTTCACAATTAACCAGCGACCCAGTTTAGATATGATCTTGCCAGTTTGTCCTTCACAATGAGGTCACCATAATTAAAAGAAAAAGTTACGAAATCAATAAATCGGATCGGTAGCCTAGAGGGCTAAGGCGCTCGCATTCATTTGCGAATAATTTTGTGGTTGACAAATACTCGGCTACGAATCCTACAGAAGACCATTGTTTAATTTAAAAATAGTTAGTTTTTAAAATATTTTATTTATTTACACTACAAACCAGATTGTGGATTTATAAACTATTGATTTGCGTTTGTAGTGTCTAGTCTTTGATATATATTTAATCGGTACAAGATGGAGAGTTTCCCTGAATTCTCATAAAACAATTTACATATGAAGTAAAACCGTGACTGTACATTATATTTAGATATTTATTAATTAGTTCGTTATCATGAAGAAAATTAATATTTATGTGTCCTAGAAGCACTTGTATTAAATAATAAATTTTCACAGAAATCATTTGCGTTTATAGATAGAGAATGGTATACGCATGAAAATTTGATATTTTTACCATTAAAATTAATTTTTAAATCTACTATGTTGATGGATCCTATTTTTTCAATGGTACTAGAATAGTAAATATCATTTTTTACTTAAACCATTACTCCATCGCATTCATTAATAGGACTTTAATTATAGATGGGATCATATCCACGTATATTAAACACCGA